TTTTTTTTTTTTTTTTTTTTTTTTTTTTTAAATTTGGGAGGTACTAATTGTAGTGAAAAGAAAACAGTATGGACTTTGGAATCTTATTGTACTGTGTGACCTTGGAAATTGTACCTTGGTTTATTCATCCAGAATTGGTGGATTGATCTGGAGTTATTGTGAGGATTTAATGAGTTAGTGAATAAAAGACATCTAGTAGTTTCTAGACCATACAAGGCACACAATATATGTTCTTTATTTCCTGGTTATTCTTGTTCTCTCACAGACCTACACATCATAAACATATACACTCACACACACCCACAAAAGACATGAGATTGGTTTTAGGCCTATAGTTTTGGGGTTCCTTTAAAAATATATTTAATTGGGGCACCTGGGTGGCTTAATCAGGTGAGTGACAGACACTTGGTTTGGCTAAGATCATGATCTGACAGTGGCAGGATCGGCCTGCATCAGGCTCCACGCTGAGCTTAGAGCCTGCTTTGGGATTCTCCCTCTCCCTCTTTCTCTGCCCCCTCCCTCTTGGTGTGCACATGCTTTCTCTCTCTCTCCAAATAAATAAACTTTAAAAAATAAAAATATATTCCTTTTTTGTTGTTTTGCTTTTTTTGAGAGAGAGTACATATACTCGCACAAGCAGAGGGGAGGGGCAGAGTGAGAATCTCAGCAGGCTCCATGTTGGGGCTCAGTGCTGGGGCTCCATCCCACCAACGTGAGAGCATGACCTGAGCTAAACCAAGAGTCCATGGCTCAACCTACTGAACCACCCTGGTGCCCCAATAAAATATATTTTAATTAAAAGTTCTTTTTTTAAAAATTTTTTTAATGTTTTATTTATTTTTGAGAGAGACAGAGTGTGAGTGGGGGAGGGGCAGAGAGAGAGGGAGACACAGAATCCGAAGCAGGCTCCAGGCTCCAGGCTGTCAGCACAGAGCCGGATGTGGGGCCCGAACTCACCGAACGCACCCAACCGTAAGATCATGACCTGAGCCGAAATTAAGATGCTTAACCCACTGAGCCACCCAGGTGCCCCTTAATTAGAAATTCTATTAGAACCTCCTTAAAATCTTCATGGCACTTATTCTAATATACCCTGCTGTTTATGTGTAAATCCTTTCCTTGGAAAGCACAAAATGGGAGATCATATTGTGATTATTAATATTGTCCATGTGAAAATGTAAAGTAGTATGCAAATAACTTTGTATTTCACAGTGCCATTTTGTGAAGTGCTAAGTTGTTGTGTTTTTTAATCCTGCAGTACAATAATAACATGGCTTCAGAATAGATTGGAAATTTTCTTTCCAACTTTTTCTATGTTAGATGTGAGAAGTGCATATTATAAACACATTTTAATTAAATTATCATAGTATATCTTGTATTTCTATTATTTTAGCTTTTCTGTAAACTTAAATATACTGTGATCACAGGAATTATTTAGAGTTGTTCATGTGATTCTTATTGTAAATAGGAATATGCTGAGTAAATAAGATGACATGAATCAAAATCATGTGTAGTTTTAACATGTAGTTTTACTCTAGTTTCCTTTATTCATTTCTGGATTGTGGGACATTTCTTTTTGTCCAGCCAGGTTGTTAGCTTTGTAGACAGCTGTGGGCTTTCTGTTATTCTTCACTAAAAATATTTTTTTATAATGTTCTTCAGGATATTCTTTTCAACTGTCTACATAGAAAAATTCTAATTCTTTTACAGCTTTTACATGATGAAGTATTCAGTGTCTTCTTTAGAAAAAAATGCAAATATATTTTTGAAAGAAATTCTTTGAGCTTTCACAGAAAGCCATTTATACAAGCATATATGTATTGAAATTGACTTTTTAAAAAAGTTTTACCAAATTACTGATTGGTCATGGTTAACTTTTGATTCATGCGATATTTTTCCAAGCAATAGTCTCAGTTTAGGAACAAAATTTAAGTGACAAATAATAGTTGGAGTTTTGAAAGCTCGAGGGGTGGTACTTTGATGATAGATAGGGAAAAGTATATTTTAGGAAGATTAATCATATAGTAATATGTCATAGGCAGGGAAAGTGATGAAAATGGGGCAAGATATCAGGTATGCAGTTATACAATACTATTACTTTTGGTAATGAAGGCGAATCTGAGATTTTGAAAACAAAATTTGATAGGAGATGTTAAACATCACTTTAGAGTTTCTTCTATAAGAGAACATCCACTAGGTTCAAAGTAATAACTAGCTTGAGATTGTGCATTTTGGGGGAGAAAGATATGTCTTATTTCAGCATGGTGAGTTGGAGGTGACAGTAGGATTTATCAAAGAAACATGGAAATTCAAATATAGACATGAAGAAAGAAACAGGTTCTCTTAGCACTTGATTAAGGTCATTAGTAAAATATTCAATGAACAAATTGTCTTTTCCTCATAAAGAAAGAAATTGATACTGGATTTCTATTTACTAGATCTGAACTGTTAAATTATTTTTCTTTTTATGCCATAGTTCACAAAGATGTCCAAAACTAATGGCTTATCAGAAGATTTGATATGGCATTGTAAAACACTGATCCAAGAAAGGGATGTAGTTATAAGGCTTATGAACAAATGTGAAGACATTTCAAATAAGTTGACAAAACAAGTTACCATGCTCACTGGAAATGGAGGTGGATGGAACATAGAACAACCCTCCATTCTAAACCAGAGGTAATATTTGTTATAAATACCTATTTCTTATTTTATCTCAGCTGTATGAAAATTCAGAGCTTATTTCTGTATTGTGCCTAGGGAACTTACATGTGGAAGTTTTATGAAAACTAATGTTAGAAGGGAAGCCCAGAGTTTCCTTTAATGACACATAAGTGATGCAAGAATTATTTTTTATTGATACCCCTTTCCCCCGACCCTGCCAAGGGTATTTTATTCCATTATATCTTTACAGATTAGAGGGAGGAATTGTTATGGTCTTATATAACCTATGTTTTCCTTGTCTGATGACAGATGATTTCATATATAATCACAAAAACTGGAAAGGTGGTTTTAGCTACTACCCCTTTACACAGTTTGGTGCTTCAGAAGAAAATCAGCTGCTTAATTGTATCAATGATAAAATTTGTCTTAGCTCAGTTTCTTTTTAATCATAAATAAAATGAAATTATTAAAATATACTGTATCTGATTTAATATTTTAAATGCTTTCAAAAGCCCAGAGTTTTAAATCTGTTTCTGGAGTAGAAACATATCAATAATGAAAAGGACACTTATTAAATAGATTATATAAGGAAAGATTATAAAAACTATATTTCCCAAAACTGCTAGTGTCAGTAAAATGCCTTTTCAGAATTCTTACAAAGAAGCAGATACTAAATTATTTTCAGTAAAAAAATTGTACAACAACCAGTACATATTAAAATGGCATTTTATAATTGTGATGCCCCCAGTTTGCATGGTGTTGGGATATTGGGATGGAAAGATTATTTTGAACTTCCTTTAAAAGTTTATTTTTAAGTGGTTTGGGGACTCAGAACTATTCAGGATACTTCCTTTTAAAGAAATGTATAAAATTGTTTACTGTGATAATATTTATAGTGGCAAAAACATGGAAACAATCCAAGTTCCTAAAATCAGAGAATAGAATATATTATGGTATGAATAGTTAGAGTGGATTATGGTATATCCATAGTATTCAGTAATATGTAACGTTAAAAATGAGTTACATTTGTTCAGAATATTTCTGATAGGTATTTAATAAGATTAGCACTAGGTACTAAAATTAATTACCTTGGTGATTTTATTTACTTCTTCTAGTCTTTTTCTAGTCAATGATCAAAGCATATTTGCTGATCATTGGTTAATTAAAAGTCAAGATATGGTTACTGGCCTTTAATAGTAAGCTACAATCTTTTCTGTGCCCTTCTAGGGTGCTATGGGATGGTGTAGGGAAACGTGATGCACTTCCCACAAAGAAGCTCTTTTCTCTGTTGCATAGAAAGAACTATGGCCATGTCAGCAAATTCATCTCCTAAAAGTGTAGTTGGAGCTGCTCCTTCTTGTTCTACAGCATTGGATATGGGGAGTTCTTCACTCTACAAGACTTACCCAGTTGAGTCTACTTTATCATAATTTGGATTTTAAAAAATCAAGTGCTTTATTGCATCACTTGAAAAATTTCTCTCTTAAACCCACATCCACAAAGTCCTGTTACTTGTAAATAGTATGATCAGGTAATACACTGTCCTTCCTTTATGCTGAGGAATTTTCTGATGAAATATTTAATAGATGAGAAAAATTGCTCTTTTTAAAAATTGCTCATTGGCTCTAGCCCGAAATAGAACTTCTAATAACCTGTGTAGATAGTTTCTTGAGAGTTCATGTAAATGCACTTTTAGGGGGTGAAATTTGTTGTCTTGGTTTTTATTTTTAGCCAAGGTAAGAGTTGCACAAGCAGTTTTACTTGGTATACTGGCCAGGCATCATTGCTGCTGAGCACAGAGACAATTAAAGTAGTTTTCTTGCCTTGGGAAAGGAGTTGTTAGCATTGGAGGAAAATGTCAAACCATCCTGATGACTAAGCTACCCTGCTTTTCTTAACAGAACCAATTCTTTGTAGCAAAGTTTACGTTGAAGCAAAATTATGTTAACCATTTATTATTACAAATTTATATTAATTGTAACAGAAAAAAGTTGTCTTTTAGAGATAAAGGACATATAGACATACCAAAATCCTTATTAAAAATAAAGTCTTTGCAGAGGGAAATAAAATTTCTTGCGTGTATCTCAAAGCTCAAAACTATTACGTTCATAATTTTTATTTTAAAATGTCAAAACTAAAGATACCAAAAGTTAAAATATAATACAGTGAGGGAAAAGAGAAAAAAACCTCAGTATTTTTCCCTTTTTATTCCTACTGTTAATGTAGCCATCTCTCAAACTTTAGCAGTTGATCTAAAATATATTAGCTTTAAATTGTTTTATCCGAAAAGATTTCTCAGATGTTCAATATAAAATGTATTTAATTATATGTGTCCTGTCTTTTCTGGGCTAACTCTACCAAGTTACTCTGATTTTGTTTGTCCTCAATTTGATAGGATGGTTTCCTATCATGTTCTAAACAGTTGCTGTGAAGCCATTTGACAGTGATGTGGATGCAGATCAGTACTGCAGATGTGACTTGAGTAACTCCAAGTGCTATGATGTAAATATTTTAGCCGTTTGGATACTACTGTTAGTGCAAACTAATATTGTGGTATTGTCATCAGCTGTGTCACACTTAGGGAATATAAACCTTTTGGTCAGCTAGTATCCCTAATCTTATTTCATATCAACTGCTTGCAACAAGTCTCTCTAGACTATTTCTGCATTTTGAACACACATTTAGCATATTATTTCCATTTCAAGCTTATCTCAAAACTTTGATACCAGTTTCTCCCAACAGGAGATTTAAACCCAATTAAATTTTCACTCTGAAAATAAATCCTGACTCTGGAAGGATTTTTTTTTTCCTCCTAACAAAACAAGTAACTTCAAAATAATATGCTGCCTCATTTTCTTTCATGGTCTCAGAAAATCTTAAAATAATTTTTTTTTCTTTAGTGAGAGGTACCAAAAGATATTTATGGTCTGCTGATGAGAAGAGAGCACTTAAACTAATTCAGAAGGCGTGGGCAGATTACATTTTTATCTATAAACTGGTGGTGGGGGGGGTGGTTATATGCAGTCATGAAAATTCTTAGAAAACGATAGAATGTCAAAATAAATAGAAGGTGTGATTGTACAGCATCTAAATATTAGATCCTGCTAGAGAAAGAATATAGCTGCCCTATTTTAAAAATTGGTCATAACAAATTGGATTTAAAGCATCTTTGTCAAAATTGCATTTTCATTGATCTTTTTGCCTTCTGAAGAAAGGATCTGTTGATGGGCAGCACTGTTGGGATACTAAGCAATAAAAAGTTATTGGAAGCTTAGATAAATCCAGTAGAGGAGCGTATACACAAAAATACATATGTGTGTGTACACATACACAAGCACACACATTGTATTTTTAAAACAAATATTTCAGTATAACAAAGCTATTTAGTATCTTGATAAGAAACAGCCAGCAGAGCTGTTTTGTGATATGGATGAAGCCATTTTTATTTGATTGAAAAACTCTATATAGTAGATGCTTCTCAAAACTCCTTCATCACTTTTTAAAGTTTTAGGTATAGTGAAGAGTATTTTAACAGCTACACTAGTTTCTCAATATTTCTTGGCTATTTGTGATAGATCGATGTTGGGATAGCATGCTTGGCGCTTTGATGCATTTATAAATGATGTACTTTGCCCACCTTATGAAGTTTCATCATTTTCATAAAGTATGAACCTTACATGTGTGGGATGACTAAGGCATCAAGAGCGGCTCAAAAATAATAAAGAACTCAGTTTTGACCATAGAGCGGGTGGGTCAGGAGGAAAGAACTTTTTCATGTTCTGCTGTTGAAGGGCTGAGCTCTGGATCCGACCTAGATTGGATACCGTCTCTGCCACTGCAGTACAGTGCATTTGGATAGCTATATGACCTTGGGCAAGTTACTTCTCTTCTCCGAGTCCCAGAGATCAGCTCATCTCTAAAATGGGGATAATAATATTACTGCTTTATCATTAGATTATATGAAGTAATCATGCATGTCATGCCCATAGCCTTGTGTCTGGAATAGAGTAAATATTCCACTATGAGCATTTACTTTCACCATTGTAGAAAATTCATTTGGATCTGGAAATTAAAATATCTATGGTAATATGTTTTATTTATTATTACTTTTGTAGTGGCAGTTGAAATTACATGTCCAGGAAAACAAAGACTTTTTTTTTTAAATGAACTGTAAAGATTTCAGCAATATTGCTGAATTTTTCCCCACCAATGCTTTTATTTTTTTTAATGAGAAATGTTTTATAGATTGCATGCCCCACAGTTGAAACATAGATTTATTTTTAATTTTTTTTAATGTTTATTTTTGAGAGAGAGACCAGTGGGAGAAGGGAGGGGCAGAGAGAGAAAGAGGCACAGAATCCGAAGCTGTCAGCTTCAGAGCTTTCAGCACAGAGCCCGACATGGGGCTCAAACTCATGAACTGTGAGATCATGACCTGAGCCGAAGTTGGACGCTTAACCGACTGAGCCACCCAGGTGCCCCGAAACATATTTCTAATTTAAGATGTATATCTTTCTACCCCACCTCTTTTACCCCATTCTAATTAAAGTCTATTGATTTTAGAATTTGGCCCTTTAACCATTTTATTATACCATAGCTTTGTTCAGACTCCTTACCTATGTGCAGATAGGATGTGTGTAATAGGTAATTAAGGGGAGAGGATAAAAGCTGGAGAATGAGAGGTATGTCTTTATCCTAGCTTTTCATGTTAATATGTATTGTGTGCTGACCTAGGGAGGATAAGAATAAACTTTTGAGTGAGATGGACTTCCTTAGTTAAAATCTTAGCCATCCATAACACTTTGTAGCTATGCAGCCTCAGGCAGATTACTTAGCATCAGGTTTTTCATCAGTTTCAAATGATGATAAAAGGCAGTCTTAATGGATGTTAAAAGATTAAATGAGGTGGTGCTTGAAAATGGTATTTGTGTATCTGTATGTAGTAGGTATTTAGTAATAATTGCTATTGGTTTTTAACTACTTGAACTTTAAGAAAAAAAATAGTGTTTTTATTGGTAATAGCCTTCCAATATTACCTTCCAAACAAGTTATTTCCAAATTATGTGTTTCCAAATTAAATGAGATTTTTGACCCTTGCCTGCTACTTTCTACTTTTTGATGCTCATTGATGTCTCTCAAATTTATATTCATATACAGTTCAAAAACAAATACATATATATGCCTTCCAGATATACATACCACTGACATTAGAGGTGACTGACACTCATTCAGAAAGTGTTTATTCAGTCAACCTGGCAAAGAGGCAAATTAAGCTTGTGTTGTCCTAATACTTGAAGTTCCCTAATGTGGTATAATTCAAATCCATACAATACCATTTTCTAGTATATATTAGGTTAGTAATATGTTATCATGGTTAATATTGTGATCATTTATGGAATTAACTTATAATTATCACAATTACATTATGACTGAACATGGAAATATTTTTTGTAATTCTTAAAGCCGGAAAAAGTAAGTCAATACAAAATAAAAGTTGAGAAAATAGAAGAAAATGCATTGTGTTTAGGGCTCTTTTTTCTTAACTAAGTGTAAATAGCTTGTAAGTTAAAAGGTAAGATTAGACATAGGTATTTCAGTTTTTGTGTGCATTGTAAACTAAAACCTCATGTCATAAAACTAGTAGAGTATAAAGGTATAGAAGTATAAATCTGTAATATTTTGTAACTCTCTTTACCAGTTTGTCACTCAAGCCCTATCAGAAGGTTGGTTTGAATTGGCTGGCATTGGTACATAAACATGGACTTAATGGCATTTTGGCAGATGAAATGGTAAGTAGTACTCTATTTCTAGGATTCATCATTGAAAGGCCTTCTTGATATCATTTAAAAAGTAAAATTTTCCCTTGACCCCTGTAATTAACTGTTCTCACGTCAGTATTTTATTACTCCAGTCACCCCTTCTAATTTTCTAGCACTTCTCTTAGCTCTGGCCTCCTCATTGCCCCTCAAAATGAAAATGGGCTTTTACTTTCTTTCTGATTATCAAATTAATATATATGTTTTAAAAATTAGACGTTACGTAAAAATTCCAAAAATAATCAAGATCCCTCATACTCCTGCTGCCTTGAAATAAGTACTATTTTGGTGTATATCTTTTTGAGATTATTTTCTTCTGCAGGTGTGTGTTTGTATGTACATACACAATATGCATATGTATAATACTAAGATTTTGTTTTATGTGCTTTTCTATAGCTACTTTGAAAATTTATAGAGACTTATAAATAAATCCACACATTTATCAGCAACATCATTTCAGCCATTTTTTGTTAGCTGTCTCTGAGTTTCTGTGCACCCCCCCCCCCATCACATTTGCTTGAAGCTGAGCTTAGGAAGTTCATTACACCCAGTAGTTCAGATATTGTCATATAGAAACTTGACCTTTAACCTTAATGTCCTTCTTCTGTTAAAAAGTTTATTAAAAATTAGTCCTGTTCAGTGGAGAAAATGCTTATTAAATACATATGTATTACAGTGTGTATTACATTTTCAAAATAAAAATTAACAGTGATCCTTATTCTGTAGTTAGCTTCTAGTAATCTTTTGTACTTTAAGACTATTCCCACACATACATTATATTATTATAACAAAGATGCTCTTTATCTGATAGAAAACAATATATATGCAGGATTTCAAATAGTTATAGAATTAGATATAGAATATAGAACATTACAGTTGTGGTGAGCTGGACTTGAGAATCAAATCTGGGTTTGGAACCCATACCTTTGCTTTTCATAGGCTAATCCTTACCGAATGGCCTAATCTCAGCCAATATTAATGAAACATGAGTAATTTCTGTATTTTAAGATTATATTTGGCATCAAATGAGGTATAATATGTGAAACTGTTTTTGTAACCTGTAAAACACAGTATCTATAAATTAGTGTCTTGCCTGGTTTGCTAGGGCTCCCATAATAAAAGACCAAAGAGTGGGTGGCTTAAAAAACAGAAATTTATTTCTCACATCTGTGGAGACTAGAAGTCTAAGATCAAGGTGTTGGCAGATTTGGTTTCTCCTAAGGCCTCTAGCCTTTGTTTGCAGATGGCCACCTTCTTGATGTGTCCTCACATGTCTTTTTCTGTGCTCACACATCCCTGGTGTATTTTTCTCTGACAATGGGGATTGGGCCCCCATCCCTGTGATCTCACTTAACCTTAATTACCTCCTTAAAGAACCTATTTCCAAATATAGTCATATTGGGCATTAGGGCTTCAACAGGAATGAGGGCAGTTCAGTTTATCACAGCTGGCAGTGTTTAGCTAAACTTGCTCAGTAGCCTAAAAATAAACCCCACTTCGCTTATATAGAATTTACTTGCAGTAAAATACACAAATGTTCAACTTAGTGACTTTTTACATATGTGTGCACCCATGTGACCACTTCCCAAATCAACATTTCCATTGTCCCAGGAACATGCCCTCATGCTTCTTTTTAGTTATGACCACCACTATTCTGATGTCTATAAACATAGGTTATTTTTTTTTTAATTTTGAACTCTATATAAATAGCGCCATTCAGTATATATTGTTTATTTCTGGTTCATTTGGTGCATGATAAAGTTACAGAGATTCATCCGTGTTCTTATATGTATCAGTAGTTTGGTTTTTGATTGGTATGTGATAGTCCATAGTATAAATATGTTGCAACTTGTGTATCCATTTTCCTATTGAAGGTCATTTAGGTCATTTCCTGTGTTTGGCTACTGTCAACATTCTTACCCAAGGTCTTTGTGGATATATGTCCTCATATTTCTTGAATATACTCTTAGAAGTGAAATTGGTGGGTGATAGGATAGGCATATGATCTGATTAGTCATTGGAACATTGTTCTTTATTTAGTATGTATTAAATACTTGTTTTATATAAATAATTATCAAAATTATATCCTTTATATGCATTGCAAAGCTCTTCCATATTAATGTGTGTCATATTTTAACTAGCAGGATACATCCTGCTCATTAAACTGAGTTTTAGTGTAATTTGGACATTATGGTCTGTTTTATCAGTCATTGAGAACTAAGAATATAGAACTCTCATACGGTTGCATTATGGGGAATCAAAAATAAATAAAACCAGAAGTATTATTTTTCCTTTTGTGTTTTCCAGTATTTTCTGTTTTTAAATTTCATATATTATCTTTTAAACATTTAATTTTAGGGCCTGGGAAAAACTATTCAAGCCATTGCATTCCTGGCATACCTCTATCAGGAGGGTAATAAAGGTCCTCATTTGATCGTTGTTCCAGCATCAACTATAGGTTTGTAATATTGTGGACAACTACACTTGACTGTATAGGGTTGTGTATAGGGAGAAGAAAATCTGTGATTTCTTAGTTTATAGAGGTGAATATTATGTGGTCACCTTATGTTTTTTTTCTCCCTTTGTATGTGTGTGAGTATGCGTGTTTGATTATACTGGACATCTTTTAAAATAACTGCAATACAAGTCAGTTATTCACCTTTTGAATTATTATGGAATTATTATGGATCAGGGACCATCAATAAGATCATTGACTATTGTAATACTTCTAGAAAATTGTTTTAATGAGTAATTTAAGAGAAATAAGTGCTTTTAAATTTATAATTAAACATTTATAGAATCAGAAAGTATACAATTCATCCCCATTGGAGTTACTCTTTCTTAATTGATTGGATGTTGACTAGAGTAAGAGAATATACGTATGAACATAATCCAAAAAAGAGTCTTTAAAATGGAAATTAATGGGGGCGCCTGGGTGGCGCAGTCGGTTAAGCGTCCGACTTCAGCCAGGTCACGATCTCGTGGTCCGTGAGTTCGAGCCCCGCGTCAGGCTCTGGGCTGATGGCTCAGAGCCTGGAGCCTGCTTCCGATTCTGTATCTCCCTCTCTCTCTGCCCCTCCCCCGTTCATGCTGTCTCTCTCTGTCTTAAAAATAAATAAACGTTGAAAAAATAAAATAAAATAAAATAAAATGGAAATTAATGATCTATAAATATAATGGTTGGCCATCTGCCTTTCATTTTATGCCTCTTCAAAATTATTTTAATCATCAGGAGAAAAATTCTGAAAGGTCTTTTTTTTTTTTTTTTATCATTATTTTGCAAAAGAATTTCTGGATAGAATTTATTTCACTGCATATAACCTGTTGTAGCACATAACCTGTTGTAGCAGATACAAATAATATCTCTTTTGCTTTATAGATAACTGGTTGAGAGAAGTTAATTTATGGTGCCCTACTTTAAAGGTGCTCTGTTACTATGGTAAGAATGTCATTTTGCTTTAATTAGAAATTTTAAAATCCTTACGTACAGTAAAGTACAGTAAATGTAACCAATATGTGTGTGGTGTTTTTAAATTGTAGGCTCTCAAGAAGAACGTAAACAGATTAGATATAACATCCATAGTAAATACGAAGAATATAATGTAATTGTGACCACGTAAGTATGGAGACAAAGTATATTTGAGCAGGAAAGATTTTGTGTAACCCTCAAATTTTTAAAAATATCTTAGTAGTAATATGAAGGAAAATTTATGCTAAGAACTATGCAACAAAAGTAATGGAATGACTTATGTTGAGAATTCGGGCATTTTTCAGTTTTTTAATAGTATAACAGATGATGGTTAGTGGTTATAAAAAGGCTTTGTCCACTTGATTGAAAGTGTAGTTTTACAAGACTTTCTGTTAAACTTAAAGTAAAATTTAAGATATCCCACCAAATGATTTGTAATATTTCTAACTTATGTCAATTATTAATCATTGATTGTTGGAGAACAAGAAGCCAGAAGTACCGTGAGAATGTCCTGAAGGAAAAGCACGGAGCAGCAAGGAACTGAAAGCAGTTCCATTCCTTTCCTTCAGGACATTCTCACGGTGCCTCCAGCTTCTTGTTCTCCAGCAATTAATAATTTTGTATTAATAAATACAGTGAAATCTCACTCTATAAATGAAAAAAATTGATTTATAGAAGTATGGGTGGAAACTTCTACCAAGTTAATCATGACTTGGTGTACTGGCTGTTTTAGCGTAAATATTTAGCAGAGGGGTGCCTGGGTGGCTGTCAGTTAAGCGTCCGACTTCTGCTCAGGTCATTATCTCACAGCACGTGGGCTCGAGCCCCACATCCGGCTCTGTGCTGACAGCTCAGAGCCTGGAGCCTGCTTTGGATTCTGTGTCTCTGTCTCTCTGCCCCTCCCTCACTCATGCTCTGTCTCTCTCTCAAAAATAAACATGGAAAAATTATTTAGCAGAGAAGTTACTGCTCTCATATTGCATTTTTAAATATAGGTTATTTCAATCTTCATGTTAACTCTCAGTAGTTACTGTTTTCTCTGCTGACTTCTGTAGGAGGCCATGATTAAAAGAATTCATCCAGAATTCATCTTTTCTAAATAAAATGGACTTCATTTTCATATATAGTCTAGTACTGGTAGCTGCTATTAACTTTTTTCTTGGATGTACTCTACTACTTTAATACAATAGTATTATGTACTTAACAAATGTTTTAATTTCATGTCCTTTTTTTTCCTGTTTGTTCTGAATGTATAACAGTTCATGAAAAAGTGTATAAAAATTGCAGATTACATATAAATTATACCCAAATTGGCTTCTTCCTAGGTGTGTAGATGTTGTCTAATTGTAACATTTAAATTTTCCTTTACCTACATATGGCAGCTTCTATAGTTTGGTTACATATAAGTAATTATTGGATACAAGTGCATCAGTATTTATTTGAACATCAACTATGTCTAGTGGTATCTTTTAGCTACTGGTTATTAAAATTGCATGAATAAAAATTTTATAAAACACTAAATCTCACTGTGGTCCAGGCTTTCAAAGGTATAACCTTAGACTTTTTTTTTTTTTTTTTTTTTTTTGGTGACAGGTATAATTGCGCAATCAGCAGTTCTGATGATCGTAGTCTGTTTCGAAGGCTGAAACTTAATTATGCTATTTTTGATGAGGGCCATATGCTGAAGAATATGGGCTCTATCCGCTACCAGCACCTTATGACAATTAATGTAAGAGAGGATTTTGTGAATTATTCTAATTATAATTTAATGTATTTAGTATTTGATATCAGGGGTCAACAAACTTGTTTTGTAAAGGTCCAGATAATAAATATTTCATGCCTTGTGGGCCATTAAGCTTCTGCCACTTCTTTGCTTTTTAACTACCCTTTAAAAATATAAAAATCATATTTATTGGCTCATGAGCCTCAATTTGCAAACCCCTGTTCTATGTGATAAACTTTATGAATATCAAATATAATCTACTTTCATTGCCTCGGAAAAGTGATTGATATGAGGATATAAGTTACCTACTTACAAATGAAACCATTATTTTTACACATTCAACCTTAAAACACAATAGATGATAATTTTTCTCAGTTACTAGTCTTTCATCAGAGAATGTTACATTATTAATAATGGTCTTAACATTTTTTTCCTCCCCCACTGAGAAATGCAGACAAGGATTTGGCTTTAAAAAAAAAAAAAAAAAAAAAAACCTAAATTTTACTTTCATTCATTCACAGGCAAATAACCGTTTGCTGCTCACGGGCACACCCGTACAGAATAATCTGTTAGAACTCATGTCACTATTGAATTTCGTTATGCCACACATGTTTAGTAGTAGCACCAGTGAAATACGAAGAATGTTTTCCTCTAAGACAGTAAGCATAAATTCATTATTTTCTCCCAAGTATGTCACTTTGTGTTTTATGGGGGCCGTTTTTCTATTTTGTCTTTTTTCTTGTTTTCATAGTGTATTTGTGCTATCAACTAAGTTTAAGTAGTTGATATCCCTATACTTGGGTGAATTGGGAAGTTAGCCAAAATACAATGGGAAATAAGTTGGTAACTTTTGTAATTAATGTCTAAGAGTTTTGGTTTTAATATCCTGATTCTCTGAAATGACAGGTTTAGTTTAGTGGAGAACTCAGATACATAATTTGTGTGGAAAATTTGGTGATTGCATTTGCCTTACTAAAATTAGGTAAATTAGGAGCATTTCTTTATAGGTAAACTGTAGAACTGGACAAAGGTAGAATGTCCAGAAAATTCCTATACTGGAAAATATATTTTGTTTTTTGTTTTTTTTTT